GGAGAATAGCTGGATTGAATGGAACCTCTAGATTTAGGATTTAGTTTTTGAGGAATCTCTACGCACTCTATGATTTTTTTTTTTTTTTTTGGTCTTTTTGAGACAGGGTTTCGCTATGCAGTTCAGGCTGGCCTTGAGCTCACTTTGTAGCCCAGGCTGGTCTCAAACTTGCAATGATCCTCCTGCCTCAGCCTCTAGAGTGCTGGGATTACAGGCATCCACTACTACACCAGGCTGACCATGTTTTCATGTATTTATTTGCCATTCCTCTTCTTCACCTGAGAATCATCTATTTATTTCAGATGCCCATTTTTGGATTCGGTCTTTAAATTGGGGGGAGGGTCTGATTGTTTATATAGTCTAGTTATCAGTTCTTCATCTGAGGAATAGCTGGAAAAATTTTTCCCACATTGTTGTTTGTCTCTTTCCTCTGTTGATGGTTTCTCTTGCTGTGGAAAAGCTTTTTAATAAGATGAGATCCCAGTTGTTGATTCTTTGTGATAGCTCCTGTGTGATCAGGGTTTTGTTTATAAGTCTTCACTTACACCAGTGACTTCAAGAGTACTACCTATTCTATCTTGCAGATTTAGTGTTTCTGTTTTAATATTTAGATCTTTGATTCATTTTGATTTTACTTTAGTGCGTAGTGAGAGACACAGGTCTAGTTTTAACCTTCTGCATGTGGAAAGCCAGTTTTTCCAGCACCATTTATTAAGGAGGATATCTTTCTTCCAGAGAAGGTGTTGGACTCCTTTGTCAAAGATAATGTGGCTGAGTGTCTCTGAATTGTTTCTGCATTTTCTAATCTGTTCCATTGATCCTCAAGTCTATTATTTTGCCAGTACCATGTTTTTATAACAGTAGTTTTGCAGTACAGTTTCAAGTCAGAGATTGTGATTCCCCCTGCGTTGCCTTTCTTACCTAAAATTACTGTTGTTGGGGCTGGGGATTTAGCTCAGCGGCAAAAGTGCCTGCCTGGCATGCTCAAGGCCGTGAGTTCGGTTCCCGGTACTGGAGAAAAACCAAAACCAAAACCAAAACAAAAACAAAACTAAAATTACTGTTGTTATTCTAGGTCTGCTCTGGTTCTAAATGAATTTCAGGAACGTTTTCTTTAATTCTGTGAGATATGTTGTTGGAGTTTTGATTGGGATTGCATTAAATTTTGGAAGTATGTCCATTTTCACTATATTGGTTTTCCTACCCCCCAAAAGGGATATCTTTCCATTTACTGATATAGTCTTCAATCTTTTTCTCCTTTACTGTAGTTTTCAGTGTAGAGATCTTTTATTTTCTTCATTAGATTGATTCTTAGGTATGTCATTTTTCTGGATACTATTGTGAAAGGTGTTGTTTCCCTAATTTCTCTCTTAGCTAGTTTGTTATTTGTGTATAGGAAGGCTATTGATGATTTTGAGTGTTGACTTTGTTTCGAGCTATGTTACTGAATTTAGTTATTAAATCTAGGAGTCTTTTTGGGAATTTTTGAGGTCTTTCATATAAAGTATCATGTCATCCAAAAATAATGATAATTTCTTCCTTTTCTATCCTTATTCCTTTTATTTTTTCTCTTGTCTAATTGCTCTGGCCAATGTTTCCAGAATTATATTGAGCAACAGTGGTGATAGTGGGCATCCTTGTCGTGTTCCTGATTTTAGAGTGAAAGCTTTCAGTTTCTGTCCATTTAGTATGATGTTGGCTGTTGGTTTATCACAGATAGTTTTTATCAGATTGATATAAAGACCATCTATTCAAATTTTCTGTAGGATTTTTTTTTTTTATCATGAATGGGTGTTGGCCCTTGTCAAATGTTTTTCTGCATCTGTTGAGGTGATCATGTAGCTTTTATCCTTGTTTCTGTTAATGAGGTGTATTTCATTTATTGGTTTGTCTATATTGAGCCATCCCTGCATCCCTGGGTTTAATCTTACTTGGTCATGGTGAGTAATCTTCTTGGTGATTCGCTTCACTCTGTTTACTAGTATGTTATTGAGGATTTTTGCATCTGTGTTCACTAGGGAGATTGTCCTGTAGTTTTCTTTTGGTTGGATACTTCTCTGGTTTTAGCATCAGGGTAATAAATCGTATAATGATTTAATGTCCTCCTAAATAGATATGCCTAAGAAGCAGAAGCAATTAGCGGATGATTGTTTGATCAGCATGGTAAATACTGTTACATATTATATTTTATCCTACTGTATTCATCTAAGCCTGTCCTTGTGGGTCTCAAGTGGTGGAAGTGCCTGGGGAGTCCTGCTTTCCAGAGATAACGTTTTCTTTCTGTAGTCAGTAGAAGTTCATTGCTTTTGATCTTTGCTGGTACATAGTGAAAAATGTTTGTCCTGCCTGGTACTGAGGATTCAGACTCACACATACATTTACCATATAATAAGCCACTGTCTTGCTTGCCAGTGGGGAGTTGCCTTTGGAGACCCTTGTAGCCCTACCCCCATGTTTTAAGTATGCCATTTTCTTTAGTACTTAACTTCAAAAACAATTTGTTTTTGTAGTACTATAGATTAAACCCAGGGCCTTTGCACTCGGCTATATCCCAGCTCTTTTTATAAATTTTGTTTTGAGATAGAGTCTCCCCTAAGTTGTCCTGGCTGGGCTTGAACTTGTGGTTCCCCCAGAGTGATGGGATTTCAGGAATGCATCACTAAGCTTAGGTGGTATTCAGCACTTATTGCTGTCATTATTGGTTCATCTCTAGTTAGAACTAATGCTTCTTTTGTTCTCTGTCCAGTATACTCTGTTTCTCTCTCTTTTTAGTTCTTTTTTTATTTTTTGAGACAGGCCCTCACTATATAGTCCAGACTGTCCTTGAACTCACTATGTAGCCCAGACTGGCCTTGCAGTCACAGCAATCCTCCTGCCCCACTCTCACAAGTTCCAGAGTTATAGGCATGAGCCACCAAGCTCCCCCCTCTCTCTTTTTTATTCTCTCCTTCTCTCTTAAATAAAGGAGTTTATTCTTTAGCCTTCCCCCACCAAAATTGTCTGTGTTGGCCAGCAGAGTGGGACATACCTGTAATCCCAGCACTCTGGGAAGAGTCAGGAAGATCACAACATTCAGCTCAGCCCAGGCAACTTAGCAAGACAGTGTCTCAAAATGAAAAAAAAAAAAAAAATCTAGGGATATAGCTCAGAGGGAAGGCCTTGATTTAAATCCCCAGTAACACACACACATGCATGCAAACGCATGCATACCACACCCAGAGAATTACTCATATTTTTTCCTGAGCAATTTCAGTGACTAAAGTCTAATGACTAACAGATTGATTATACTATTTAAATGATTAGAGTTCAAGACTTTTTTTTTTTGGTACCGGGAATCAAACTCATGACCTCAGACTTGCCAGGCAAGCACTTATGCCACTGAGCTATACTCCTGGCTAGAGTTTAAGACTTTAACTATATTCACAAATTCTTTTTTTAAAGTGAGCTAGTGATAAATACTCTATTTGTAATTGCCTACATAGACAATAATAGTGATTAGATGATAGTAATATTTACTTGGAACTTATAAAACTCATAAGTGACACAATTTTGTACCATTTAATTATTGAATCATTTTTTAAATTCAAGGTACATTCTTTGCCAGTTGCTTTTAGTGCAAAAAATTTTCCTGTGTGTTTTACAGTATTTTCTTTGAGTGAAACATGAGCATATTTCAGAACTCCTAGGAGTAGATGTCCAAAATAAAATACCTATTTTTGATGGTTTTACACTATTACTTTGTTTTTTTTTGTTGTTTTTTTTTTTTGTTTTGGTTTTTCTCCGGTACCAGGAACCGAACTCACGACCTTGCGCTTGCAAGGCAGGCGCTTTTGCCGCTGAGCTAAATCCCCAGCCCCTACACTATTACTTTGAAACAAAATCTAGATGACTAGAATTTTATTCTAAAGGAGTATTTTAAAAATTATTGACATTTGCTACTTGGTAACTTCTTTTGCCTTTTCTGATTGTTACAGAAATATTTTATAGGTTTATTACTCATTTTTATAAACCTGGTCCCAAATACTACTTTATGGTAAAGACTCACATCTTTCTTCTGATTTAAATTACACTCACCAAAACTTTTTTGTAGACTCCACATTGTCTTTGAACATTGAATACCAAGAAGCCGTGAAAGAGTTGACAAAAAACCGAAAAAGAGTTGGCTGAGTTGCTTGTCAAAAACAAGAGTAATTTTCCCCCCTGAAGTTTGCTGTTTATTAAATCTGAAGACTTCCTGTAAGATATTTCCTTCAGTATTTTAGCTTTCAACAAGGACAGCAGAAGTAGATATGGAAAGATGTAGTGGTTAACACAAAAAGGTAAAAAGTTTGGCTATTTCAAGGAGCTCATATAGCCCCCGGTGAGTGGAGTTGAGGCTTCTACTAGGTTGAGCTGATCTTGTTCAGGCACCTGTGCATCAAGATTTGAAATGATTTATGGTGTTTCAGAGCAAAAGATGAATAACTCACATTGTTATTTTCAGGAGTTGGTGATGACACACGAAGTTGGGGGCCACCTTTTGCGGGCACAGAAAGCACATACTTTCTCAGTGTTAACCGAAATAAGAAAGTAAGGATATCATTTCTGTTTTTGCTTTATTTATGTAGTTCTCTTGTAATAACAAAGCATTTGACATCATTGTGGCATTTTTGTAGCTATAATTAATAATTCAGGTGTGATTCCCCAGATATCAAATAGAAGCAATAGAGCTTGTGGTTTTTTTTTTTTTTTTTTTTTTTTGTACCTGGAATTGAGCTCAGGACTTTGCACTTGCCAGACAGGCACTGGTGCTGCTGAACTATATCCCTTTAGTAATCTTCCTTTTCTATTAAGTAACTTAAAACATTAAAATAAATTCATGAGAATTTATTACAGAAATTTTATAAAAAGAGATATCATTTGATTCTTTACATTTGTTGTTCTTTTAAGGGATTCTAAGTGCCTAATACTTGGTGTTATTGTCATAAAACATTTACTATAATATTAGCTATTATCCTAACATATCATAATTACAAATAAATCAGTAAAAAAGATTTAAGTATTTCTCTACGGGGAAAATAGATTTTCTTTAAGAGGAAAGTCTGTCATATGAATGGCTTTCTTGTTGAACTGTCAGTAATAAGAAATACCGTTATGACAATATTTTAATGTAAATACTTTGATTTTTAGAGTATAGCTGTTAATATGAAGGATCCAAAGGGGGTGAAAATCATCAAAGAGGTACAGTATTCTCTGTGGGAAGCAACTTACATCCTAGGTTGTAATTAGAGTGAAAATGTTGTAAAACTTTCTTTCATTGACAATCTGTACTTTGCTGTAAATGCTATTTAAGAATATAAGTTGACATTTTTCATAAGTATAATATATTTTATTATTTTGCTGGGCATGGTGGCACATGCCTGTAATCTCAGCACTCAGGAGGCTTAAAACAGGAGGATAGTTGTGAGTTTGAGACCAACCTGGGCTACAAAAGGAGCTCAAGGCCAGCCTGAACTGCATAGAGAGACCCTGTCTCAAAAAGACTATATATTATATAGTCATATATATATATATATATATATAGTCATATATATATATATATATAATATCTTGTGTTTTGTGTATAATTATAGCCCTAGCTATCACTGACTGCCTTTTGAATCAGATCTTGGACTTGGGCACTTTACTTACATTGACTTCTCTAAGCCTCAGAATTTGTCTTGTAAATGAAATATTAGAATCCTTAATTTCATGAAAGGAAATTGAATCATATAGGGTTTAAGTGATGCTCCCAAAGGCTAGCACACTAGCTAATGTTAAGTTAAATTAAATTTGGCCTAAATATACCTCTCTGTGTAGAAAACTATAACCTAATTTAGTATATTAACCAACTATAAACAAGTTTAAGAGTATATTTTTGTGACAAATAGTGAAGTTTCAACTCATCATAGCAGCTAAGTGAGCAGATTGTGTCCCTGTAGACAAATGTCAAGCTATAACTAATAAAGCTGTTTATGGATGTTACTTTTTTTTTTCCTAGAAAAACTGTTGTCCATCTTGTTTGATGGAGTTCTCTTAATCTTTCCTGGTTCTGAGAGCTGCCCCATACACAAATCATACTTTCCTCAAATGTAGGGCCTTGTGCATGTAGGGCTCTTCCCTATGCAAGGCAAGAGCTCTAAAACTGAGCCACATCCCCAGCACAAATTAGTATCATTTCTTAACCCTTTCTTTCCTGTCTTGCTGATGCAGTTTGTTTCTAAATTATAGCTAGAGACAAACTCATTATTAGGTACTGTATGTGTCAGATTTATTTTAGATCTTATTGGCTATGTGACTGGAAGGAAGACTTTTCTAAAAGAAAACTATTTGGGGGGATCCTATAACTCATACAAAAATTACACTTATTTTTTCTTCTGGGCAAGTTTGGCAAGTTTTACAGCATTATGGTTTTTTTTTTTTTTTGGTTTTTCTCCGGTAACGGGAAACGAACTCACGACCTTGCGCTTGCCAGGCAGGCGCTTTTGCCGCTGAGCTAAATCCCCATCCCCAGCATTATGTTTTGAAGGTTTATCTATGTTGTAGTATGTATCAGAACTTCATTCCTATTTATAGTTGAATAACTTCAATCTCTTAATGGATATTTTGGTTGTTTTTACTTTTTAGCTATTATGAATGATACTGCTATGACCATTTGCATACAAGTATCTGAGTCTCTGGTTTATATTTTAGGAGTGACATTTTTGGGCCATATGATAATTACATGTTTAACTTTTTGAGAGACCTCTCATAAGGTGTTTAAAGTTAAAAACATTTAATGCCATTTGATTAAATAAGGCCCTGCGTCATGTACCATGCAGAACAGATGCACACAGAGAGATGATGAATGTAGAATCCTCAATATGATATAGCTTGTGTTAGTAATTGCAAGAGTGCTATGTAAGTAGCAGATAGTGCCTCAAAAAATTTTGTGGAATAAATTAGAGTATAACTGAAGTTTATATTTTATTTAGTGCTAACACCTACCCTCCAGTTCTACAAGCAATGCTTGGTATAATTGTTAACAGTAAATTAATTCTAGTCATAATTCTAGAGATTTATGGTGGAGTGTATTGTGTGAAGTTTCCCATAGGAGAAGCAGATCAGTTGTTAATTGGGTCTGCAATTTGGAAAGGTGCCTGTATTGCTTGAGATTTGAGGCTTTTCTATCTTTGCTATTGTTTGTATATGATGTGAGTGTGTCCTCATTGGTTCGTGTGTTGGAAGGCTGGTCCTCAGTGTTTGAGGATGTTGGGAGGTGGTGGAACCTTTAAGAGGTAGAGCCTAGTGGAAGGTGATTAGGTTATTAGGATGCAGCCCTCAGAAGGGATTAAGGTAGTTCTTGTGGGATCCCAGTTGTTCTCACTACTGTAAGTTGTTAGAAAAGAGTACGCTTGACTTCCTCTCTGTTTTCTGGCTTCCTGATTCACTGTGTGAGCCCTCTCGTACATATTTCTACCATTGTGATGCTATTTGCTAGGAGTTCTTCACCAGAGCAGAGCTGATGCTGGTGTTAGTCCCTTGAACCTCTAAAACTGTGAGGTATATAAACTATTTTTTATGCGGTGCTGGGGATCAAACCTAGTGCTTTGCCTATGCTATGCAAGCTCTCTACCACTGAGCTACACTCTCTGTCCTAAACCTCTTTTCTTTTTTTCTTTATGCATTACTGAACCTCAGGTATTTTGTTATAGCAACAGGAAGTGTACTAATACATTTTCCTATTTCTTTCTTTTTGTCTGGTGTGTGTGTGTGTGTGTGTGTGTGTGTGTGTGTGTGTATGTGTGTGTATTCCTGAGGATTGAACCCAGAGCCTTGTTCTATTTCTTAATGTATTTATCATGCTTCCTTGAGAGGTGGTCATCTGGGGTTCTAGTGCCTCTGTTTCAAGAGCTCTGGTGGATGACAGTTTCTTGCCTTTATATGCTGACTAGGAGCTGCCCTGGCTCTCAGTTTTGTTGTCAGACAGCTCCATATATTTATTCCACGTGAAGTGACACAATAACACTTGATTTATTTACATGTTTATAGCTAAAGCTTATATTAATTCAACCATTTCCACTTAAAACAGAGGTTGGCAGACTATGTGACCCAAGTCAGCCTTGCTTTTGTACAGTGTATATATTAGGATTGGGCTTTACATTTTTACATATTATTTAAAAAAGAAAGCTAAATATGTGACAAAGAACATATGTGGCCTAAAGAGTTTATTGTTTGAGCCTTGATAGAAAAAGTTTCCCCATTCCTGATCTGGAGTCTTAGTCTGTTAGTTTGTATGAATGTGAATACTTCTAATGCTCTGTCAATAAAAAATTATTTTTTTGGAGCTAGTATCAAACTTAGGGCCTGGGGGCTGGGGATTTAGCTCAGCTGCACAGTGTAAGCTAGGCAAGCACTCTACCACTGAGTCATGTCCCTAGCCATAGCAAAATTATTGAATAGTTATTAGGCACCTGGATCTATTAAAGAATTATCATGATGGATTTCTCTGGGTGATCTAGTACAATTTTTGTTATGACTTTAGGAACAACTTTGAAAGGTGTGTTGTCACACTTAAGATTTTGAAAAAATTAAGATTTATAGTAATTCATTGTCCTTTAATTTCTATGGCATTGGTCTGGCAATCAAAATCTGGGTCCTGTTTTTGACAATTACTGTTTCAGTGGGCATGATGTTCAGTTTGAAAACCAAGACCAAACAAAACAGTGGCTCATTAAAGGTGTTTAAAACTCTTTGGAAGGAAAGCATCTTAAAAATATGAAGGCATTTTCAAAATCATGTTTACGTATGTTAAGTGCCTGTTGTAATGAGGAATATCATACTAAATATGGAGAGTAGTGATGACACTGAATTTAGATATTTTATAAAGGTCTCAAAAGATGTTTTCCTATGTTTTCTGTACTTATAATTTCCTACATATACGTTTGAGAATAGATTTGGACAGACTATGTAGCCTAAAAGTTTCTCATATTCAAAGGAAGCAGAATCTGTTATACTATTTTTCAATGTAAAATTTATTAGCCCCTATTTTACTGACAGTAATGTGTTCAATAATTGACCCAGGCTTTTTTTATGTTTATCTAAATCTGCTTCATCTCTCCTGTGATTTTTTCTTAACTGTCACAAAGTGAGAATCAATTGTGTTTTTTGAAATTAAAACTCTGTCATGTGGGAAAGTTGTTGAAAGTTGTAAAGTCCCTTTGGAAGTCTGACTCATCTTTATCTCTTCCTTCAGCTTGCAGCTGTTTGTGATGTATTTGTGGAAAACTATGTCCCTGGCAAACTGTCTGCCATAGGTCTGGGATATGAAGATGTAGACAAGGTTGCTCCTCACATCATCTATTGCTCCATCACAGGTATTTGTTTTGTTTTGTTTTTTTTGTTTTTTCTCCGGTACCGGGAACCGAACTCACGACCTTGCGCGTGCCAGGCAGGCGCTTTTGCCGCTGAGCTAAACCCCCAGCCCCCATCACAGGTATTTGAACTCCATACCCACCTAAGTGAGTAGGAATTCCAGGTTCTGCATTTTTTGCTTCTATAACAGACCTCTTGCTGGTGTTAGCTTTCTTGATGTAGTTATGCATTCCCTCTTTCCAAGCCATTTAGACTGGGAAACATTAAGTATCAAGAAATGTTAACCTAAGTGGACATTTTCATACATGCCTTGACTCTTTGTGTTTATTCTTTGAATTGTCTGTCCTTAGTTTTAAAAGTTTTCTATACTGATATTTTATGAATGTTTGCAAAGTTCTGTCATTAATACAGATAAATTACAGGTGAAACGTTCATTGGCTTTAAGATAATAGAGAAACTCAACCTATTTTCTAAACATATTCACAAGTGCCAAGCGAAGGGAAGGAAAGGAATACTGTAAAGTCTTCCGAGTACTCGACCCTTGCCAGTGACTCTTGTGTGGGTGCATGAATATGTGGGTATGTATGTAGGTTATTGGGGAAAAAGTCATAGTGTTACTGAGTTTTATGTATTTCATAAATACTTACTGATTTATTAGGATGCAATGTAGGAAGGTGACTTTTACTTAAAATAGACAATTATATTAGTAGTTTTGTCATAAAAACTCATAATACTTTTAGTTTTTGTTGAGTCATCTTTGAAAGATCTACTTCTGGCCTATGATCCACCAGGCAACATTTTATGGTTCTGGTTGCAGGAGTGAATAAAACACACCTGTTCTCCCTAGGAGATTTATACTCTAGGTTATAGTCATTGAGCCGAGAAGAGATAAAGTTAAAGAGAAAAATAAAACAGGGCAAGGAGGAAGTATTTGTATTGGGAGTTCAGGTAAGGCTTCATTGTGAAGGTGAAATTTGATCGGAGACTTGAATGAAGTAAAAGAACACGCCATATTGGTGTTGGCAGAAGGAGTTTCAGAAAGATGAACATGAAGTTGAAAGGACCTGCTTTAAGAGTGTTGTGGAAGGGCTGGGGATGTAGCTTAGTGGCACAGTGCCTGTCTGGCAAGTGCAAGGTCCTGAGTTTGATTCCCAGTACCCCCCCCCCCCCCAAAAAAGAGAGTGTTCTGGGCTTGTTTGAAGATCAGCAATGTCAGTGTGGCTGAAGCAGAATGAACAAGATAATGAGAAGAAAATCAGGGAGGTGCAGATTAGCAAGGTCACAAAAACCTGTTGGCTGCCTTACTCTAAGTAAGATTGTAAGTTAATGGAGGATTTTAAATGAAAGAATGATATGACCTGACATTTTAAAAAGGATATATCTAGCCATTGTATTGAGAATGAACTATAGACTCTACAGTGCAGAGGACAAAGTGGAAGCAGAAGTGCAATTATAAAGCTGTTGAAATTTTCCAGATTAGACATGGTGATGGCTTGAGTTAGAGTGATGGCAGGCAGTTGGAGAGTGATGGATCTGGAATGTTTTCCAAGTAAAGTGCCTAGGGTTTGCAGATGCATTACAGAAGAGCATCAGTGAAAGAGTGGTTAAGGATGTTGCTCTGAGTTTTGCCTGAGCAGTTAAAAGAATAGAGTTACTATTTCCTGAGGTGAGAAATGCTGGAAAGGAGATTTTGTCGGAGTAAAGATCAAAAGTCAGGTTTTCGACTTGTCTTGTTTGAGTTGCCTGTCAAATGGAAAACTAGAGAAAAGGATTGAAACTAAGAGTTAAGAGTTCATAGGGGATTGGAAATTTTATAGTTAGGAGCAAATATGAGCCTGGTGAGAGGAAAGGAACCTGGAACACTCTTCAAGAGTGAGAACTGACGGAAAAAGGAGACTCCATTGGGTTGAGCCCATTACACTCCAATGACTAGATGACTGGGTGATAACTACAATGTAGAGAAGGAAATTGAAAAGGAATTGTCAGTAAATTGTGATGAGAACCTCCTGGAAGCCAAGTACACAAACTGCTTATTTTCAAAGACAGCTTAAGGTTAAAAGAGGGTGTATAGAGAGTGTATCCACAAAGGCAAAAAGTGTTCTTGCATTTTAAAAATTTTCTCTGCTTTCTCTCACTTCCAAGCTATTGTACATGTTTCCATTGCTGGGAACATGGTTTTCCTGCCACTTCTGTTTGCTCTCTCGTTTCCTTTTAGAGCTCAGCTTGGGTATCACAGAAAACTGGGTTGGGTATTTTGGTCCACATTTGCCATTTGCCTCTTTCCTTGCTTTTGTGTCTCATTTTCCAGTAAGTTTTCTTTCTAGTCACACTTCCATCCATGGCACAGAGCAGTTGGTAGGGGTTCAGCAAAAGTTTCTTGAATCAATGAATGCCTAATCAGGACTTGACTAAAGAATTTTAAATAGCTGCCATTTTCCCTGCATTCCACTTTTCATAGATAAGGATCAGTGGTATGCTTATATTATCCAAAGAAGCTTCCAAGGATAGCCCAGGGTGAGTGCATACTTGGCCTAATTTATTATTTCTTCCACAGATTATCCGTATCACTATATAATGATCATTGCTTTAAGGTACCAAAAGAGCTTGTACCATGAAGTAAATATTCAGTTATTGTCATAGGTCACTATATCTTGGGTCTTTTTTAAGGCAGAGAGATGAACTAGTACATTTAAAAAGACTGAAAAAGGAACTAAGAAAAAAAACTTTACCCCTTATGTTTCAGTAACTTTATTTTATAATAGCTACCTTAAAATCTTGACTTACTACAAAAAGCCACAAAATATGTTCTTAAAATATTTATTATTCATAAAATAATAATGAAAATACTCCTGTTTCTGTGCATTTAGGTTAACTGAGATATTTGAATACTTCGCTTTTTATGGTGTAGAATTTTGTGATAGTTATCTTCATAAATTAAGCTGAAGGACAATATTTGCCTGATATTTTAGATAGGATGAAAAGCTGTACTGGCCATTAACTTCTCTACTGGATAAAATTGACAGACAAGTTCTCAACATGGTTGATAACTCTTTGTCTCTAGATCTGACTCTTTAGATGTATTGTTTTATAGGTCTGCAAACACAGCTTCATTTTTGTTTTTATAATCAGTATATATGTGACAGGAAAGATTTTTTTCATTAGAATTGCAGATCCAACAGAAATATTGAGATCTAAAATATTCATATAGGTAAATTATTATTTTCTAAAATATTCTATTACCATACGATGCTGTATAACTGACAAATGTAAAGATCTTAAATGAAAGGAAGTATTTATTTCTCTTTCCTATGTCTGTGGTCAGTTGGGATTCAGCTGACATAGACTGGTTAGGTTTGGCTCCAAGTTGTGGCTTGGGAGCCTAGTCTGCTCTGCATATCTTCCAGTGATTCCTCTTACCTCAGCCTCCCCAGTGCTGGAATTATAGGCATGTACCACCACACCTCGCTGAATTGTATGTTTTTTACCAATAGCAATAGGCGTGTGTAGTCTGAAAAAGCACCTCTCATCATCCTGTTATTCCCTGCATCCCTCCATCCTTAGAATAACAGCCATACAGTTCATTCTCATTTATTTCTTGATAAAGAAACAGATCCAGAACGTCTAAGGGACCTAAGGCCACATGGCTATTTAATAACAGATGGGCTTAAACTCAGGCTTTTTGATTTAATATTAAGTGACTCATGCTTTCCATACTTAGACTTATTGTTAAGTGCTGACATGGATTTTGTGATTACAAGACAATGAACAGCTCTACTTGAAAATTATTTTTGTCTTTCCCTTTCATTTGGTGTTAATCATATTTGCAATTGTGGAAGTCAAGAACAAATTCATTAGTCAGGAAGTCTAAATTTCAACAGATTGTTTTGGAAGGAAAAGCCATTTATGAGTCATGAGTTTATGTGGATATAAAGCAAAGTTCATCTCTTGTAGAAGTTTGGTATTCTTGGTAACCAGTGTTTACTTTTTATTTTGTAGTGAAACTGATTATATCAGTCTAAAGTTGCACATGTCATGATTGGTATCCTAGACTTTCCTGATGTTTCTCAGTGGTACTGCTGTCTTGTGAGTGCTGTCCAAGCCCAAATTCCCTGTTCTTACTCATAGGTTGGCCTTATTGCTGATGAGAGTAATCCAAGAAAAGCTGAGAGATTGACTTTCATGTACTCTGACAGTTTTGTGGTTGAAATCGCCTCAGGCTGTGAAATCTGGTCTGCAAGATAAAAATGCTAAACTGATCTCAAGGGAGGAAGGACCTGATTATTTTTATTAGTTCGGTCCTCTTATCATTTCAGAGGAAGCTGACTATGCACATTAGGGGGCAGTGTTTAAAAAGCTATTATTCACTAGGCATTACTTTTTGAGAAAACAGTTTCCTGTGAGCCACCAGACAGAGAAAATCTTTGAAAGGATATATTTATACTCTTTAAGAGGCTGGTTTTTCTTTTCCCCTCAAGTGACCCCCCCCATCTCTATACTTTGGTTTTTTAAATAGCAACTTTTGATCACATTTAACATTTTAAAAAATGTTTATCAGTACATATTTTTGGTACATAATGATTGCACTCATTTTGGGGAGTTGGTATATGTACATAAAGCATCTTAATTCTTTTTACTTCCCTTTCTCCTCCCTCCCTACTTTCCATCTCTTGGTCCTTTTCACATTTGCAAAAGATCTATCTCTCTGTAATGGTACTTCCACTAACAATTTAATTTTAAATTGTACTGTTTTCCTTTGTGTCCTCTGAGTGTGCGCTTCATTATGACAATTTAGCAGTAAGAATCCTCCCCACCATATTTAAAAGCATTTCTTCTTTTTGTTCACTTCATTACTGTTTCCTTCTGGAAGGGTAAACATTACATTACACTACTGTTGACTAAGCTTGGGGTAGGAACATTTTGTATGTTCTTTAATAAAATTTCCTGGTCATATTTAAGGAAAGGGGTTTGAAGAATGTTGTTTTGATTTTTGTGAATTCCTCAA